TTTAATAACGTATACAGTTTTAAACAAACAATTTAAAAATACGGATTTACCACCTTATTTTCTGAATGTTAAAATAACAAGAAAAGATGTAATTTCACTTTTTTGTATTTCTCTGGCTAGCGATGTATTTACGTCGTATCTTTTGTAATTATATCTTAAGAGGACGACTTCTTGCGTGAAAATTTCACCACGGTGATGTCTTCACCTATTGGGAAAGTACCAAACCAGGATGTGCACAATTACCCGCTGCGCACAGTTCCCCCACTTTTCCCTACTCGAACATCTGGATCTCTGCTCACATCTTGCGTTTACCGCTAATTGATCACTTCAACTCCAAATAACGTCACGCGCTAATTTTCTATTAAGAATTAATTAAACGAAACGTGGAATCAGTTAATCTAAATACTGATAAAGGCTGGAAATATGAAAGTATGTCCAATCTTGTTTGGATCAATACTGTAATGTAGAGGAAGGTCACCGATACCGGCATATCACTTTGTTTTTAGACAATTTTCTTAAATAAAAGGTAAAAATACAACTTGAAAAACATAAATACAAAGTAATGTGTCTCCTATCAGATAGTATAAGTAATTTTTATAATACTGTTTGCAATTTTGCAATAATTAAGTTTTTCGTAAGTTATGCAAAAATGAGCGTCTGACAAAATGGGCTCCAAAACTGACATAGTAGGCAATAATGTCAACAATCCTATTTTATAAATAAAGATATATCCTATTCTGCAAAGAAAACTAATTTATGAAACTATAAATATTTAAAATAACATAATATTATCAATAATACAGTCACTATTATTTTAATTACTCAATTTGCAAAAGAACACCGTGAGAATTTTCTTCTCGGATTTACAGGATTTGTTTTTAGCTGATTTGGTATAGAAATAAACCAAAAATATATGAATTATGAGTTTGTACTTCTTTAATTAGCTGAACAGATCATGATTTTATTAATAAAATGCAATAGTTAGTTTCTGAGAAATAAGGGGGTGTCATTTTAGGAGACCTATGTCAGTATCGGCGACTTTCCTCTATGGTAATGCTAGAAAATTCTGCGTTTCAGAACTTGGCGGGCGTTGCGAAACTCACCACCATTGCATCACGACAACTTTAAAAGATTCTAATTTGACTTCGAAATCAAAAGTGGATTGTATTAACGGTATCGCTCGTTAAATACAAAATTCATTATTACGAAAGAATTCAATCTAAAATGCTATTTTATCTCTTCATAGGCTTCTGCATTTGTACCGAAGGCTATACATTGATGGAGGAGCTGCAGGATTGTGTTCAATTTAGTGATAATGGTAAAAATATTTATAATTTTTTAGTATTTATAATAATTCTTTTTTTAAGATAAAAAGTTTGCAATTTTCTAAAAGCAGAGTTCCAAAAACGCATAAATACTATTTGTTCAATATCTTTATATTATAATATTAAGAATTAATCTTATTAATACTAGTATTCTAATTTTATATTTATTAATTTAATATTAAAAATTTTTTGTTTGTTTCTGTAGGTGCAACGAGATGTCAAATATATAGAATACTTTTTATCATCGTTATTGCAGGATTTCTTGTGCATTAAAGATGGTGGATAACAATACTTCAGTCTTAGCATGGGAGCTCGATTTTTAATTTAGAATATTAAAAAATAAAAAAATAGATTATTAATTTATGTAATAATTTAGATGCGTATCGTCGTTTTTATTTATAAAACAAGATTAGTAAAAAGGCAATAGGAGTCTACCTCTGGTTGTTAAAATTTCTAGTTCATTATAGTAAAAATACCATCTAACTTCGTACGTTTCAACTCCAATTTTGAGTTATCTTCAGCAATACCGCAACAATATATACAGCATATTATAAATCGTAGTCAATATTCCAACCTTCGCAATTCTCCATGTGCGGTTACCATAATTTCGTGAGATCGTGAGTACGTTATCTATTACAGTTAGTTAGCTGAGTGACAATAATAACTTAAGCTCACGAAACCAAGCTTGAGTTATTATTGCCACTCAGCCAACTAACTGTAATGGATAACATACTCACGATCTCACGAAATTATGGCAACTGCACATATGGAAAATTGCAAAGGTTAGGATATTGACTACGATTTATAATATGCTGTATATATTGTTGTGGTATTGCTGAAGATGACTTAAAATTGGAGTCGAAACGTACGAAGTTAGATGATATTTTTACTATAATAAACTCGAAATTTTAACAACCAGAGATAGACTTCTATTGCCTTTTTACTAATCTTGTTTTATTGATTGATTTAAGGAGTTGCTAACTACTTGTTTTAGTTATTATTTTATTATTATTTTTGTCGTTTTTATTAATATATTTATTTATATTGTTGTTTATATATATATATATATATATATATATATATATAAATTAAAACATTTGACTAATGTAAATGTACTACCTTAACTAATTAGCAGCTATAAGCAGCCAAAAAAATCAATGTTTTTTTTCCATGAGAATGACGAATCTACTAAATAACTATTATAAATAACTATTATAAATTAAGATTCTTATTGTTCATTATAAATTAATGATATTTTTCTTCCTTATTTCTGTTTACTGTAGTCAGTCATTGTTGAAAATAAATTATGCATTTGCTAAAACGACATAACTTAAAAAAATCTTTTCCTAGAAAATAAATTTAAATGATTATAAAGAAATAAAAATATGTTCTTTCATTTTTTCTATATTTTTTTATTTTTTTCTATAAGTAACTTCAAAATGACAATTTTTGAATTATGTCGTTGCAGTAAATCCTCGACATGTGAACAAAATGTTACTCAATTTTTACACGCGTAAAAATTCTTTCTTATTTCTATTTACTGTAGTCAGTCATTGATAAAAATACATTACGCATTTGCTAACACGACGACATAGTTCAAAAAAATCTTTTTCTAGAAAATGAATTTAAATAATTGTAAAGAAGTAAAAATATGTTCCTTCTTTTTTCTATATGTTTTCATTTCTTTCTGTAAGCAACTCCAAAATGACAATTTTTTAATTATGTCGTTATTCCAGTAAATCATCGACCTGTGAACAAAATGTTACTTAATTTTTACACGCGTAAAATATTGTGTAATAATTACACACAATTGTGTTCTATTTCTGCAACTATAAAATATTTGTAACTATTCCAGGTAGCAAACTGTAGTCATTTGGACGTTGATAGTTAATTATTTTGAATTATTGACGTCATGTGATCTAAGATGTAATAATAGAGTGACCTTCATTTGGACACGTTACAATTAGACACGTTGCAAATGGACACGTTATATTGAACACATTAATATTGAACATGTATCACTTGGACACGTTAATATTGGACACGTATCACTTGGACACATAAATATTGGACTAATTCTAATTCTAACCCTGACCTTGCAACCGCCCTCACAATTTCTACTACTTTAATAATTCTAAAAATCTGAACGATATATTCCAGATAATTACGGAGAGCCCCATAACGAGCTCAATTCTCATAACAGCAACAAGAAAGCTAATTTTACAAATTCAAGCCCTATCATTGATATGTCAACCCGAGGAGGTAACCACTTAATGTAATCGTGGGACAGTGTCCCCGAAATCACAATGAAATCTCCATGTTATAATTTTGCAATTAGGTGTAAGAAGTTAGATGAAATCATGCAGAATCATCAGATATCATAATGAAATCATATATAATTCGTAGAAATCATTTTTAATTTCCACAAAATCACTGAAAATCCAATGCAATCACTAAAATTTGTGATGAAATCATGTGGAATTATCATAAAATCTGATGAAATCAGTGTATACAAATCTGAGGTTGCGAAACATAAACTATGCCACCATGTTTCTTACATAGCCGCAATATATGTTCGGTCGCGCTCCGTCTTATAAGGGTGATTCAGAAAAACCCCGTGTCTTTGCACAGACGTGCTCCTGGCTAAATTCTAAGATGATATTTCCTTTACGAAAATTTTATCCGACGCTTACTTTTTAAGCTATTAAAGGATAAAGTTAGCGAATCACAGGTCGCGTATAGAAGGTAAGCAGGGGCGGCGTCGAGCGCACTCACCGTCTGACGCGAGCAAGGGCACTCGTTGAATCAGCTGTCTAAGGACATAGAGTTATTCTGTCTCACATAATAAACGCCCACACAAGCGCTCACACACACACACACACACACGCACACGCACTCTCTCTCTCTCTCTCTCTCTCTCTCTCTCTCTCTCTCTCTCTCTCTCTGTTATCTCGCAGAAATTCGCTGTCTTCATACCGTCGTTACTTGAAGGATAAATTTCGTCCGAGTTGAAATTTTGCTTCTACTTTGATTCATAGTTTTAGGACGTATGTAAACTCTAAAGATTTATAATTAGAACGTATGTAGACTCTAGATTTATAATAGGTTCTAATCTAATGAATTGAGTTCTTACGTTGAGCCTGTAAATGGCAGTTATTGGAAAATTTCTTATTTTTAGGTTTAAAAGAAGTTTTCTGATGTTACGTAATTTTATTGAGATTTTCTCCGTATTTTGAGTCAATGCATTTAAGCAATTTACTCGGGGATCGGAGATTAGATTGTGCGGTTAATAATGTTCACTGGGAAGTATTGGATAGTTTTTCGGAATGCGGGAAAGGATCGTGATTTGAAATGATTTTATTTGAAACCTTAATTTCCTCTCTTGCTGTCTTCGTCCGCCTTTAGTAGGCATGGAAAATAATGCAAAAATTATTAATATCCAGAAGAACTGCTGTAAGACGGGGGCCACGCTATTGGCAGCGACCATTGTAATAATCCTCAGATAATTATGAATATTCCGAGAAAGTGCTATAAGACAGGGGCCACGCTATTGGCAGCGACAGTCGCAACAATCCCTCGGATACTCGTATATATGTACTTGAATATATGTAATAAAGTGAGACGCAGAGCAGAGATTTAGGTTTCAGCGATTTGATGTATATAATATATTCGTTTAATAATAAAAAGAAAAATATAAGAGTGAAACAGAACAATAAAAAGGAAAACATGGAGTGTATTTCTGAGGAAGCGCGAGGATAGTTCTTACCTTGATCAAGTTAATTTCTGACCAAACCTGTATGTAAGAATGAAATGAAATACTAAACTGAATAAAAGAATTAACTGTCTTGAACTGAATTGAATTGAATGTATAAAAGAATAACTGTCTTGAACTGAACTGAATTGAAGAATAGAATTAACTGTGTCGAACTGAACTAAAAAGAATTAACTGTGCGTGTAACTAAACTAAGCTGAATTAACTGTGTCGAACTGAACTAAAAAGAATTAACTGCGTTGAACTGAACTAAAAAGAATTAACTGAACTGAATGGAAGAATAGAATTAACTGTGTCTCGACTGCTTTTGACAGCTCCTTTTATATTTTGGAAACGAATGT